ATATATATATATATATATATATATATGCTACTAAAAGTTTGTTGCCAGCCGCCATTAAATTCAGCAAAAGAAGAAGTGGTCCAAACCCCGGAAGTATGTGCTCCTCTCGGCTCCTCTCGGCTATCCTCCCTCCTGCCTGAGCTGCTCGGTGACTCGGTGAGTGATTAATCTGGACTTCTCACCTGTTTGTTGCTGTTGATTCTCGCGGCTGAGTTTGAACGACGAATTTGAAAAACAAGGATTTTTTTTCTTTCTTTTACCAATTTATCTAGTGGGAAGAGAAACAAGGAGCTCCGGGCTAAAGATGTCCACCGCTTTGGAGAGCTACATCAACCGTATCCTGCTGCTGTTAGCTGGCTAACTTGCTAAACCAAGTCCGTTTAAATGAATGGAAACGTGCTAGTTAGCTTAGCCCCTAATAAGCTAACTCCCAGTTAAACCAAAGTGGAGACATTACAGCTAGTTTAACACGCTAACCTAGAACCTAGATATGTGATTAACTCGATTTAATAGAAATCTAAAAATCGGTGTTACAACAAACAAATACAGAACTCGTTTCCTGTTTGTTAAACCATGAATAAATAAAAAAAATCTGTATATATATGTTATTTAAATGGAAGCTTACCTAAATATCACTTTGTGTATTAAAATAATGTCCGTTTACAAATCCTTAATTGTGAAATCGACATCCAGAGGGAAAACATAAACAGTAGCTTTATGCTAAAGTGCTACATAATATTTTGGAGACATTTTGTCTGTTTAATTTTTATTTTTTTTACCCTCTAATGAAGTCATATTCAATTTGTCAGAATTTAATCAAAACGTTGATTATTTCAGTAACTCAGATTGATGGTTTCTAGCCTTTGTATGTGTTGATTCTCTGTCAAGGTTTTTTTTGGAGGAAAAAAATCCATAATTAGACACATTATCTTATCAGGCTGCTGAGAGTCTTTAAAATAATGTAGACTTTTTTTTTTTGTTCTGTTGAGAACTAGAACCAGATTTTGTCTTTGTGACAAACTCATTTAGTTAAAGAACCTAAAATATTTTGTGTTCTGTAAAGACAACACTCATTTCTGAACGTCTCTTAATGCTCAGATGATTCTTGGCTCCAGGCTTTAGTTAATATTATTGCCTTAAGATCTAACGTACAAACACATTAGTTGAAACAGAGGATCAGGATGTCTTTATTTAAATAGTACGTAGTTATAACCATATCTGTAACTTTTCTCAATTTCTTTGATTTTGACTCATAGCGACCAGAAAAAAAATCCCCAAATTTGACAATTTCAAATCCTAACTAAGACTATATTTATTATTTGTCAAGCTTTCATGCATGCACCCTGTAAAAATAGCTTTGCCTTTGCAATAGTGTTGCACTGACACTAGTATTTGGCGAGGCCCTGATCCAGCACTCAAATGGAGGCATCAGCAAGTTCCAACAAATGGGGCACTGATACAATTTTGATGTTCGTACGTCACTTAAACGCAGCCTTCTCTCTCCTGACACTCACTATTGTTAACTATTGCTGTTGGTCTGCTCCAGACCAATGAGACTAACTTTACTTTCTTATTGTTGCACTAGTATTATTCATGTTATAATTTCACAAATGTTGCACTATTTTGGCCTTTGAGAACCAAAAGTTTATTCAACTATTGTCACCCATTCCTGGTAGGCAATAAAAAGTTCTACTGGATTCACTTTGTTTTAGTCTTTTTCCTGCTTCACAAAGGTAGGCAGCAGCTTGACAAAGCCATGATGGTAGTAGTATGCAGTTCCTCATATATATACACATCAGTTTCAAACAGATGGTATCGGTATCTGGGCCAAAAAATGGCATCAGTGCAACACTAATTGGAAAATATAGTTCTATAGTTTTTTTACCACATGACTATAGAAATAGAAACAGCCTAATCGAACTTAGGAGGAAAGAAGTGTAAAGGCCTTCTTTCAGCCAGCTGACTGGCAGAGGAGCAGAGCTACTTTATCCTTTGAAACATTCAGCTTAAGAAAACTTTGTCCCGTCTGGATCGCACTTTGAATTTTCATTGAAATTCATTTAACTGTAGAAATAAATACTGTAGAATCAAAGTTAACCGGCTGGATTCTGGTCTGTGCTAATATTGTATATTTCTCTGTTGTGACTGAATGAAACCGTTTAGCTGGATGTTGTTTCTTTAATTGCTGTGGCTCCAGGCACCGTGGCCATCGTCACGTCAGACGGCAGGATGATAGTGGTGAGTAAATACAAACACAGCTTCGCCTCAGCTGCATTTGCAGATTATTAGCAGTTAAGACGAAGTTTGTTGGATTGATTCATAAACTTCAGAAGTGGTTTTAATGTGTCTTTGTGGATAAAATGCTTAAAAACTTTGGAAATGTTTTTTTGTCTTCTTTTTAGCATAAACCTTTAGAGGCGTTTGGATTTAAATGTTTTAACCTCAACTTAAAAGAAAAATTCCTCTCAGTCCAGAACTGATTTTCTGGTTTTCCTTTTCAGCTCAGAATGACGTTTGCTTGGTTGTTGTTTTCAGGGCACCTTGAAGGGCTTCGATCAGACCATCAACCTGATCCTGGATGAGAGTCATGAGCGCGTGTTCAGCTCCACTCAGGGGGTGGAGCAGGTGGTGCTGGGGCTCTACATCGTCAGAGGAGACAATGTGTGAGTCCTGCGTTTCCTGCTCTCTATTAATCAGCTCCCAGTCATGTGAAGTAGATGATCATAAATTCACTCCTGCTGATTTTAGACAGAATATTTTACATTATATTGTAATTTTTATCTCATCAAATTTGCTCCCTGTTATGACCCCTCAGTGTAATCATCTTCAACTTTATTACATTTGTATAATGGCTAAAAAACTATTGATGCAGTCCAGTTAATTTTACATCTCTTTAGAGTTTTTCATATATATTACATAAAAGTACACACAGATTGTATCCAAACATATTTTGTAACTATCTGTAGCTGTTAATGGAGCCTGATTATCTACAATGAAAGAGTCGTGTAGCAAAATGTCCTGAAAAGCCACGCAGGAATGAAGAAGCCATTAGTCCAGAAGCAATTAAAGAACTTGGATACAAAGATTTACATTTTTTAACCAATGAAACAGACATTCTGTAAAAAAAATTTTAAGGATGTTTAATTACAGTTGAACAGATTTTGTTTTGTTTTAAGAATTGTGACAATAAATTTTTCTATCCTATAAATGAGTGTTTGAGCGTGATAATCATCATCATCACATTTGGAAGAGTAAGGGGGCTAGCTTCCAATGCTGCTAACGTCATCTACCGTGAAGTATGGCAGTGACAGTATTGTGTTGTGATGGGGGGGGACTGGTGTGCTTAAAAATAAAAATGTGGGGATAAAGGGTGTTTCTGTTTAACACTGGGTTAACCTATATGTACTGAAGTGGTCCGAGCTCTGGACCCTGCGGTTCTCCCTGGGTAACTCGGTTCTTTGCGTCTTGTTTGTGCTTCAGTGCCGTAATCGGAGAGATCGACGAGGAGACGGACTCCACGCTGGATCTGGGAAACATCAGAGCCGAGCCGCTCAACTCTGTCGTCCACTGACCTTTTAGCACATGTTCTGCTGTGGCCACCGTTGCCACAGCAACCAACAATGGCAGGACTCCGTTGTGTTGGTTTGTTATGTTTCTGTGCGATCAGAGGGGAAAGTCTGACCTTTTTTCAGCAGAGTCACCGTCTTCATCTGATGTTTGTGGGTTTTTTATATATAAATGATTTGTTAGATGTTGGATTTGCTTTCCTGCAGTTCAGCAGGAGAAATTTTGAATAAACTTTCATTTCTTGTGTTTAATTTGATCACCTGTTAGGTTTTTATTTCTATGATACAAGGATCCACTTTATAAACTAAGAAAAACTCGTTATCACACAAAAAATAAAAGTATCTAAAATGCTTGTTTTGGTGCTTAGGGCCTGATCTCCAAAGTTTCTAAATAATAGGTGCTTTTATTATTATTATTATTATTTTAATGCAATAAGAAGACGTGCTGCAGGTGATCGACAAACCGATTTGGCTTCGCCTGTTGAAATAAGCAGATTGCTTTTTCTCCTTGCAGTGTGAAAGAGGCTGTAAGGCTGCACTAACGCACCCTTACCACCATGTCTGCAGGCTTCTTTGATCCT